TGGGAAATAAAATTAAGACCTGACATAAGTATGTCATGAAATCCATTTTTTTACCTGCTTTTGTTAGTATTAGCAAGCTCACCCTTCTGGTATTAACAGCAACCTCTAGAAGATTTATTGTTACCATTTCCATCTTCATATTTAGCTGAATGTTGCATGAGTGCTGTAAATGATTGGTTATTGAAGAAATGAAATCGACTGGATATCAATAAACTAGAAAACTTGAGCCTTAAGCTGACTACATGGGTGCCTAATATAAAATCTATATTTAGTAGGCCTGACGCACAACGATTTCATTTTGTGATGAGCTCAACTTTCATTTTGCATTATTATTTCATGATTAAAATGGTCAAATTATATTAGAAAAATAACCTTTCATTCAAATATTGTATATTTCTGCCTATCAGTTCTCTATTATGTTTTGAATCTTTATATATTTAAACGCCGTTTCGTGTTGTTGACATTTGTCGACATTGTCTTTGGAGGCTTGAATAGAGATCATGCTAATGGCCTTTTAAGCTTCCTTCATATGAATTGCAGTAAAATTTTGAATATGTAAGAGTTTAATATTACGGGGGCGGGGGCAACAGAATTTTACAAATACCAAAGTGAATTTTTGATTCATCGACATTTTGACAACAGATAAATTACCTAGAAATAGTAAGATATTAGGTTGTTGAAAATATATGTAACTTTTTAATAATTACGAGGTAAATAAGTTGGTTCACAGAAATTTTAAAAAAAATAAACAAGAAGAAATACGTGATTTCTGTTCATCCGTACGATAACTCCCCCTCACGTTAGATGTCATTACGTCGATGAAACAAAAACTCATCGCTTGTCAATAGTCACCGTTGTTAAGACATTCTATTTTCTTATTTTAACCTACTTTTTTATGCAAAGAAAGTATTTTTTCCAAATATACTAAATAAACTTTAAATTTTCTAATTTTCCTCAAATAACTTTTTAAAATGTCAAAATTGAATTTTACAATATATATATATATATATATATATATATATATATATATATATATATATATATATATTAAAGTGTGCGAGTTATATATTATATGCTAAAGAAGTAATTTGTACAAAAATTAATTAGCAATGTTAATGCGATTAATGGCGGAATCAATTCGCTAACAAGATTTAGTGAGACATTAACTTACTATCATTTCCTTGAATAATACGATCCTTATATTTGAGTTGTTGCATATTTGAGTTGTTCTTAGATGGAATTGTCGAGCCAAGTACTTTCGTCAAATTGTCGTCTTCTCGGTGCCATTTTTCTATATACAGGAAAAACTCTAAAACTAAATGTATGTAGTGTAGAACGAAAGATTTTTCTTGTTACAATGCTATTTATTGGCAGTTATATTATTTTGGAGCGTGCGTTTTGACGACGCTAGAGTTCTTTTTCAAATCTATCGAGTGAAATTTTTGTTTGAATTTGTTTAATTTGATAAATCCACGAAATTCTGTTGTTATATATATATATATATATATATATATATATATATATATATATATATATATTATATATATATATATATATTCAAAAGTGACATAGATGTAAGCATAATCAAGCTAGTAGAGTAAATATCTTAGTAATTTTCCACAGAACTTAATATTCTGCATTTACTGCGGATCTGATTTTTGTAAATATATTAGAGTGTGCAAGTTATGTATTATATCATTAAGCAGTAATATATACAAAGAGTTAATTAGCAAATGTAATCACTTCGCTAACGAGACTTAATGAGACATTAGCTCAATATCAATTCCTTGAATTACACGATCCTTATAGTAGAGTTGTTGTCAGGTAGAATTGACGAGCTTAGTACTTTCAACAATTTCTAAAATTGTCATCTTCGGGGCGCAATTTTTCCATATACAGGCAAAACACTACGAGGAAATTTATTTGTTTCTTTTTTAAATATGCTGTTTATTGATTTATATCTATGTCTGTCTCTATCTATCTATCTATCTATCTATCTATCTATCTATCTATCTATATATATATATATATATATATATATATATATGTGTGTGTGTGTGTATATATATGTATATATATATATACATACACACAACATATATATATGTCTGACGATCGCTAAAGCGTGAAACCCAGGGTCACAAACTCACATCTATCCAACCAAATATATTAGCTCTATCTCTGATATTGAGCGCTTTCTAATAAGTACCGCGCATATAATATATAAATAATTATACATATACATATTTATTTATTTATATACACTTTTCACACACATATATATATATATATATATATATATATATATATATATATATATATATATATATATATATACTGTTGTTGACAGGATTGTTCATCCCTTCCATAATTACAAATACAGCTGTAATACCTCAAATTTTCATGGAAACGTCCTTTTTTTTTTTACAAATGATGAAATATTGGATTTGAAAGAAGTTGCAGTGTTTCTAACAACACATTCTTATGTCAATGTGAAACAAACGCCAAAAACCATTTAACATAGAACCAAAATAATGGCCCTCTTGCCCCAATAATCAATTGTGTAACCTTTTTTTTTACGTTTTTTACAGGATCACTGATAATTTGCTCCATTCATCTTTGCCGATAGCTTCTAGTTACTCCAGATTTGACGGACTTAATTCTCTTAATTTTTTCCCAAATATGCCCTAAATTGTCAATAGGGTTTAGGTAGCACTTTATACGGTGTACACCAATACCTTAACCCTAGAACACTAACATTGTGTATATAGTACCCAGCGCAAGTTTTCCTATTTTTAATTACAATTTTTAGTATTTGATTTTCTTACGTAAATAATGTTTTTCAGTTGCTATTATTGTTAATTCAAAATACGAAGTTTGAAGTGTCTGCATGCAAAATATTTCAAATAAAGTTTTTTATTTAATATTTTTTTGATATTTTCACAATTGGGTATGATATACCCATGGTTAGTAGTGGCGTAACTTTAATTGATGGTCAGTGTTCTAGGGTTAATTTTGCTGTAATCTACGTATTTTGTGTGCCATATGTTTCAGGCCATTGCCATGTTGGAACATCCAATGACGCCCCAAAAATCTTTCGTGCTTTTTTTTTAGTATTAATTTTAAGAATAGTCAAATAATGCTCTCCATCCATGGTACACTATACTCTTACTAGTTATGCTAGTCCAGAAGCAGTAAAATAGCCACTAAGAAGAATGCTCCTACCACAGTGCTTAACTGCAGGGAGGTTATTTTTTGGTGTGTGAGCTTCATTCATTTTCCTCCATACATAGCGTGAGTTCCTGCGACAAAATAATACTAGTTTGTTTTCATCTAACAATAAAACAGAGTTCCAATATTTACTCCCATATACTAGATGTCTTCTAGCATAAGCTTATTTGTATTTTAAGTGTTTAGCATTAAGCAAGGGAGTTTTCCTTGGGCGTCAATCTCGGAATCTTGCTCGATGAAAACATCAAGTGACGGTTTTCATCGACACATTCAAGCCTGATGTCTTTACATCATTGAAAACGTCCTTTGTCGTTAAGTGGGGATTCTTTGAGACATCCCTAACAATTTCCCTTTCCATTCTCTCAGAAAGTAACCATTTTCTGCCAGTCCTTAAATTATTCTCAACATAAGGAGTCTCATACTTGTTGATAATATCAGGAATTGTCGATCTAGGAACTATTAACCGCTTGGAAAATGTCGTATATCTATTACCTTGTTTGTATATACCAGCTAACTTTTTTCAGAGCTTCTTGTCAAGTTCAGTCCTTTTCAGCATAGTTGCTGAACGAATGAGTTAGGTGGGACCCACATATTGTCTTCTTGATTAACTTTTTGGATATTATAAAATCAGGTTAATACTATGTTATTTTAAAAGCGTGTTTGTATTAAATATCAAATTAAGAAAAAAATATTGCAATTGCTATAGAGCAATATTATTTCATAATTCCCATAAGAGGTAGAGACGAATAATTTTGGACTGCACCAATTTTTAGAAAAATCTATAACTATCAATGTAATATTTCAAAGCCTCTAAAATGTTCACGAATTATTCAAAACGTATACAGAATCAAGTATTTATGATAAATTCAGTAAGTAATTGCAAATAATCACAACCTCTTAGAAAATATGTAAATATTCAGTGGGAGCAAATAATTTGTCCATAAACTGTGTATGTATATATATATATATATATATATATATATATATATATGTGTGTGTATATATATATATATATATATATATATATATATATATATATATATATATATATAGAGGGTAGCAAAAGTATTTAACACATTGGTTTTTCTTACGTATCTCAAAAAATAACAAGTCAATTTCAAAAAACTTAATAGGAAATATTTAAACGAAAATTGTCGATCAAAGCATGGAAAGAAAATTTAAAACCATTGTTTTGATCGACAATGTTCGTTTAAATATTCCTATAAGTTTCGTTGAAATTGACCTGTTATTTTTTAGATATGTAAGAAAAACCAATGTGTTAAATAATTTTGCTACCCACTCTCTCTCTCTCTCTCTCTCTGTATATATATATATATATATATATATATATATATATATATATATATATATATATATATGCATGTTTCATTAAAACGACAGACAAGGTATTTTAGCCGCCATTATCATCCTTGATAATGGCTAAAGGTATAGCCGAAAGCGCTCGGAAATATAAAACATTTGGACAGTTCTTACACACCCTTTGTCCAGAAAAGAAAACTCTTGTCAGAACACAAGAAAAATTAAATAAAACGCTTAACCGTAGTACCTTGTCTGTCGTTTTTAATGAAACAGGCATAAAGGAAGGATTGCTGCTTAAATATACAACTATATATATATATATATGGGATTTGAGTTAGAAGTAATTTAGAACTGCAAAAAATAATTTATACGCGAAAAGAAAAATGTCCATGAAATTGTTGAAAGCAGAAAAGGGATAAGATGTCATCGTCGTTTTCTGTTCAGGATAA